ATATATATATATATATATATATATATATATATTTGGCCAGCGGTTACATCTGCTTAACCAGCAACCAGTTTGACGAATCGTCGCTTGGCGTCTCTGAACAAACCAGCGGTCAAACAGCCGTAGAATCTTCCAACTCTGAAAACTATACCGTCTGGTTCGAACAAACCGTTTATTGCACCGTGTGGTTCTTGGAAGCCAATCCCTCGCTACAGGACCTACAGGCATTCACCTGAGGATTGCAGCCTGGTACCATGGCATCAGAACAAGTTCCGTATCGCTTCTGGAACTCCATGCATCCAAGACATCTCCGCACATGTGAAGTTCTGTCTCATGACGCCGTTGCCAACAAGTCCATCATGAGCCGCCCAACCAAAGACAGATTCGCGTAACACCTACGCTGTGACATAGACCGTACACCATAAAAGGCGGAAAGATGCAGCGTCTGCTGTCCCGATGGGTCGTGAAAGGAACCATACAAAGGAAATTACTGTCTACCTTCGGAAAACGAACAGTACTGGGATACAGGTGCTCTGCGCACGAAGACACCTTGATAGCCGGCCAATTAGCGCGGTAAAGTTCGACCGATCCGACTGCAGATGAGGAAGTTGGCCGTACGATCTGTTTGACGGGCAATTCGTCCCTACGTTGGGACAACCTCACGTCCGGAATGCTCCGCCAATTCAAAGCCAATGTCCTTGATGTTTATTCCAACTTACTAATAATATTTGAGGGTCGCTCACGGAATTTGTTTTGGGCTCGTATTACTCTAATTCTGAAGGTCCGAAATAGAACTTCCTCGAACCAAGTGAGACCACTCTCGGTGTCATCCATTTTTGTTCGATGATTTCACAAGGTTGTTGTTGATTGCTAGAGCCGTAGACTGGGATTACCTTCAACACTGTTTGCATTTTTTTTACATCGAGAGGGCTGTTTGGAAGCTACCTTGCTTTTAAAAACTCTGCTTCGTCACCTTTCAGCGGCTGCCTTTAACCTCAGTTTCGTATGGCTTAGTTGTCAGATATGATGAGGTGTTTGGGGCTTCGTCACATCTATTCCAACGCATCACACAACCCTACCAGAATGCTGAGGCAGCTTTTCTCAGTTCGGAGGTTCGCGACGCTGGGGTGTGATGCAGAGGGGTCCACTCTACTTAATATTGTACATCATGGCAAGGGATGTGGTCATTCGAATGTCGATGCAACCACTGCGCTACCAGTTTCATGGCACCTTAGCGGATGGTTTTGCCTTCGCTGACGAGTTGGTTGTGCATGCAGAGATTAAGGCTCAACTTCAAGAGAAGCTGAAAGCTGCCGTGGTTGAGTTTGGAAGAGCCGGCATGGCTATCAACACCAAAAAGGCAAAACCAACGGTGATTTGTGGGGACAAAAAACACCGGGCAGCTGCGATCTCAATCAAACCCCTTTATTTTCAAGGGGAAAGGAGTTGGCGATCACCGACAGGAGCTGCTGAAACTGCTCGATGAGATGACTCATGTCCCGTTGAAGCCGTGTCAAAGAATGGATATCACAAGAAACTACCTAATATGGAGACTGATATATTCGGTAATGCTCGGTCAAGTCGACCGTAGTGTCTTCTTTTCACGGGTGGCTACGTCTACTGAAAGTACCCAATCAGCTACACCCACGCCTGTAAAAAACGTGCAGGATTCGGTACCACAAACCTGAGTTCAACCATCCCGAAAAATGCTACGTAGTGCTGAGTACTAAGCAACATGGTTGATGATCCTGCATTCGATAAGGTTGTTGGTTGTCAGTACGGCACGTAGTGCTGAGTACTAAGCAACATGGTTGTTGGTTGTTAGTACGGCAGTGAAGCATCAGTCCCAGCACTGATGTTGCTGCCTTTGATGATGATGATGAAGGTTGTTGGGGATCCGTGAACAAGGCATGCACGTGAACAAAGTAAATTGTTACTGCTTGAAGCGATAGTTTGTACGATAGCGTTGATGACTGCGGAGTTGGTCACTTCGCCTCTTTCGAATCGGTAGTTTGTGTTTCGGTGGGCGTTTATCCGCGATATCCAGCTCCTGTGTAACCTGCTGAGGACGAAATTTAGGAACGCCTGACCTGATGATCGTGACCAGATTATCTCTGTCGTCGAGATTGTGATCAACCAGAGGTGAACAGTCTGCAGTCATGTTGGATCACGCATGATGCTCGATTCGCTCGTCATAATCGGGTTGCAAGAGAATTCGGAAGACGTCTCAGTCGTCTGGGTTAAACCGAGTTCGAAGGGTTGAGGGCACCTTCTTCGAAGTCATTCATTAATGCTGACCTAATCGCTGTTCGGGAGTATCGGGCAGCCGTGACAGACGTAAGCGTAGTCTTGAATAAGCGCGGAAAAACTGTGTAGAATAAGTAGCAAAAGTACGGTGCTAACGATCTTTTCCTAACAATCATCTCATTCCTACGTGTTATCGATAACGATCTTGTTTTTTTTGGTTCTCAAACCAGTGATCATTTCATACCAAGGAATCTGGTTCCTTCAGTCCGCTAAAGCTCTTGGACTGGAGCTTTGTAAGGGTAAAGTCCGTGACTTGTGTTTGCTCACCATTTTGGTCTCTCTATATAGGCACAACAATTCTATGTGTGGTACATGGCGTTCAGCCTTTATTTGATCCAATACCTTTCACATCTGACCCTGTGTGTCACATCTCGTAACTGATGTGCGAACCTTGGCTGTGCTAGCGCGTACTGCGCCCTTAGGAGTGTTCGGTATCGTTTATTCTTTTTTCTTTACGTGTTCCAATGCCAAATATCCCTGCATTTCGCACACCGTCGAATGGGACTTTTCTTCTCTTTGTAATGCTCTCCTGTAAAACCTGCTACTATTGAAAGAAAAAAGAAAGCGTCCAGCTGTAGCACCCTTTTGGTGCCTAGCTGCCATGCCACCCGAAGGAAGCACGAGGGCTGGGATACTGCCAGGTTGCCCAAGCCTAGACAGGGGAAGTCGAGTGGCGGAGGTTGGATTCGAACCGCGGACCTTCCGGTCAGTAAATTCTCGCTCTAACCACTTGGGCCATCTCGCCCCCGCTACTATTATCGCCCACAGTTTTCGCGTTCATGATGAAGCTACTCGAAAATGAACCATAATTGTAATAATAGGTTGCATACGCATACAATGACCAATGCTACCACAATTGCTATGTCGCTATCAACAATTAACGAAATGATGCTAGGGGGCGGAAAGCAAATATCGCTTTGCAGATAAACCAGTTCACTCACTTTAATCACTCCAACGATACTAGCCGTCAGTGCGGACGTGTAATGCGTGCACTGGAGCATAGAATAGTTGAGTAACACAGCCGAGCAGCAGGAAAATATGAAGTATAGAATGAAGATAGGATTGGTCCAAAAACTGAAATTAATTATCTGTAAAAGTCAATAAAAAATTGTGTTACGAAAGGACAAGGACACTATATATATATATATA